ATTCAATAAAGTATATGACAGCAGGTAAATTCCCATGCTCTAAACACTTTGACGTTACTTTTATTTTTGCCGCACATTTATTTATGCCCCTCTGCCAATCGAGAAACACCAAAAAGTATTGCCATACTTCCTCTCTCAATGCCAGCATAAATTTTTGTTTTTTCTGAGTCTTATTTGAATTTGACAACAGCCTTGGAAACCTAAGAGCTATGAAATAACACTTTTCTGATATTGGGACCTTAGTTAAATCAATGTGCGATATGCTATTTTAATTTGGTCACTTCTACCATCCCATTTCTAATAAGACTGTTTTACTACCTATTTTTCAATTCAGTTGGTGGAATTATTTAAAAAGTTAAGGCATCAGGCCGGGCGCGGTGGCTCACGCCTGTAATCCTAGCACTCTGAGAGGCCGAGGCGGGCGGATTGTTTGAGCTCAGGAGTTCGAAACCAGCCTGAGCAAGAGCGAGACCCCGTCTTTACTAAAAATAGAAAGAAATTAATTGGACAACTAAAAATATATAGAAAAAACTAGCCGGGCATGGTGGCGCATGCCTGTAGTCCCAGCTACTCGGGAGGCTGAGGCAGGAGGATCGCTTGAGCCCAGGAGTGTGAGGTTGCTGTGAGCTAGGATGACGCCACGGCACTCTAGCCAGGGCAACACAGTGAGACTCTGTCTCAAAAAAAAAAAAAAAAGGCATCAAATGGGTTATGGTTAAAGACCTTGAAATTCCCTTCCAACTGTAAGGTTTGTGCAATCTGTGGCTTCTTAGGTAAGAATAAAAGAGATTAAGGAACCAGAACAAAATCCAAATGGAAAGAATCACCATCACTTGCCAACTTTTAATGAAGAAATAATTCTACCAAAATCCACCCATTTCGTTTTATGTAAATGAAATCCTCAAAACTCTGATGAATATGTCCCTTATAATATGTCTTTGGTGAGGAAATTGCTTGGAACTTCCCAACAGAAAATGCCCTCAGGTGTATAGAACAACAACACAGGAAACAGTGGTTTTAGTTCCAGTAGTGCCATGAAGCATTCGGTGGTATCTTAGCCAGGTCCCCGTTTTGGTGTTAGTCTCTTTAGAGCCCCATGTCACCAGTTTGGCTATTTAACCAGGCGTGGGAAAACAGGGGCAGTCTTTGTGTGGTAGGTAGGTACCTTGTAGGTGGTTTCCCATATATAAATATATGATTCAGCTCCACATACTGAAAGAAAAATATTGTACCCTGAGAACCCATGCCCCCAGAATTTTATAGATTTGTTTTTCCTTTTTAACATTTTTCTCTAATCAATGTAGAATTTACATTGGATGAATATAAAGCAGGGCTTTCAAATGAGGCTTTGCTTTCCAAGAGGGAAGTAAATTGTCCCATTTTTTAGCGACCCTTCACTTCTCCTGTAGTTTGTGCTCCAATATGTCAGATTTTTGAATAACCTAGAGCAGGTGTCTGGCCGTCTGTTCTGAGGGCTGTGTGCATGTGGCAGGAACATGCAGTCAGCTCACCTGGGCTCCACCTGCCTGAGCTCCACTCCTGACCACCCTCACCACCTCTAGGCCCTGCGATGTGAGTGTGTGTGAGGCTCACACCATCTTTTTGAGTCTCAGTTGTTTAAAATCTGCAAAGTAGAGATAATAATAAGGCCTGCTTTGGGACATTCGTGAGGGTCAAATGAGAAAATACATGGTAAGCACTCATGTTAAAACGTCAAAAATCTGCAGTCGCTATGGTTTCAATAATTGTGGCTTTACAATGTTTTAATATCTGCATACAGGTGCACTTTCATCGTGAGTTAAGTTCTCAACCTCAGCAGAGGTGAGAGGAATGAACAACTGAGAAACCACATCTCAAGTGTATCTTTCATGTTTGCTGAATGTCCACAGGGCAGGTGTCTAAATAAGTCAAGGTCCTTCCGTACCATGGAATGCTCTGCTGTAAGAGGTCGAAAATGTGCATGACGGGGAAAGATGCCCTGGATGTTAAGTGAAAAAAGCAGTGGTAGAACAATGATATCATTCCATTTCTGAAAAAAAAAAAATGAAAAATAAGATGTTACACCCAGCAACTCGTGTGTGTTAAGACAGAAGGGAATGTCTGGAAGGGTCACCATCAGAGGTTGCAAACTGGTGGTCCTCGGGTCAAATCTAGCCAAAAACTGTGTTGTGTGGTCTGTACAGTATTTTGTATAGTGATGAATAATTGCCGGTATTTAAAATTTTGGGAGTTTTTACATAAAACCCAGAATTTCAGGCTTCTCTTGAAAAAACTGGAATGTCTGGTCACCCTGGGGCAGTAGTCCCTTAGGACCTCAATAAACTGGACCTGACCAAACACACTGAGTGCCCACCTCGCTTGTCCTTTCCGGTATCTGACTCCTTGGTCCTGAAGGCATTTGGGTTTATGACCCCTGCCTACACCTGGCTTTAACCCCAGTACCCCTGGCACATAGGACTGGGGTAGAGGAAAAAAAGGGCCTTTGTGAAGACTCACTTTTTACTTTATACACTTCTGAATGATTTGAATGCATGAATATGACACTAAGTTACTTTTAAAATTTAAAAACCAATGGGAAAACATGTTTGAATACTTGGTGGTATCCCAGATGCCTCATAGATAAAACTCCTGTTCCATTACCATCTCCCATTATAAAGCTCAAAATGCACTTGAAGCTTGCAGGTCAGGGGCCTCTTATTATTGAAATTCTTCTCTCGAGGTGCCTTCTTTGTGGACCAATTTCATTACTGGAGTTCTTGCTTCTGGTCAGGTCAAGGGCATCAGAGGAAATGGCTGTGCCCTGCTCTTTCCTTCCTTTTTGCAAGCGGTGCCCTTCTCCCCTGCCAGGGCGTCTGCTGGCTCTACCTCCTTCCCAGCCTCCCTCCTCCACTGCCACCTACCCTGGAGCCCACTCAAGTTTCACCTCTTCCACGAAGTGCTGCAGCCCACAGGTTTCAGTTCTTCTTTCTCATTCATAGTCAGCAGCCGCAGTTAGGTTGAATCATTCTAGGATTAGTTCATGTGAAGGTGCCTTCCCTCCTCCCAAAAGAAATACACTGTTGTGTGCCCTGGTCAGTTTCCTTGGGTCCCCACTGGGTTGAGGCTGGCCTTGGCTGCTGATGCTAAGAGAAGTGGCTTGTTCACAATTCCTCCAGGAGAGGCGTGGCTGGGCTCATGGAGCCTTCGTTGGTCCCCAGGGGGTTGGCATTCGTCATTAGCTGAGTTGCCACCAAAGCTGGCTAACCTCAGGTTGTTCACAGACCTATACAAATCCAGGACCCTTCCTTTGCAGGAGGCTGGAGCAAGAGGCCTTCTTAGGAATGCCTGCCCTCTTCCCACCACCACCACCAGCTACCACTTACTTGCTTGCTTTGTGGGGAGTCAGGCTTTGGGAAATAGGGAGTCTCAAGGATAATCTGAAGCCCACCTTTTAGTGGAACCTGCTGTTTGATTTGACATACATTACTGAGCACTTCCTGGGTGCCAGCCCCAAAGTGACACAGATGCCTGCCTGAAAGCCCTGAGCCTTTTTGCAGTGATTTCACTTCCTTCTATCTCCAAACAGGTGTGACTCCCTCACACTGCCTTGCAGCAAGACCCAAGCCTGTCAGAGCAGCCTCCATACCTATCAAAAAGTATTTGCATCTCTTTCAAAGCACCCTGTGATCGTGCACCTCCCTGCTGTCGTGCTTGTCCGTTCTTCTGCCTAGAGCACCTGTCAGAACGCTGCCCATGTGTCTGTTGCTCTGAGAAGCCTTCTCAGACTTTGTCCCCATGAAAAATGCATTTGCCAGGCTCAGTTAATTCCTGGCCTCCTCAGCACTTTTTGCAAATTCCTGGCAGCATGAATGGAGAGAGCCTGCTTTCTCATAAGCTCTAAAAGTCAAGTCTTGGATTTAATCTGCTTCTGTTAGACCAGAAGCTCATTGTTCAAATGAACCTGCTCTCTTTGCTGGGTCCGCTGACTTTACTCATGCCTGACTGAAACAGATGAAGGCTCTTAAAAATCTGTGCGTTTGTAAGAAGGCCTTGGGAAACCCTGGGCTAAGTCTTTGCAGCTAAAACTTGCAATTAGGAAGATTTTTGCAAATCAAATACTACCCCACTAGAGAACTAAAAGAAACCAAAAATAAATAATTGAAAACTACACTGGAGTTATGTCTCCTTGGGTTTGAGACCCTCTGCCACTGTGCAAGGAAGGTGAGGGTGCTGGTTTGTTTGTGGGGAACGTTTGCACCGGGCACAGTTTTCACCTGAAACCGTGCAGTTCCCTGTGAGATAGTCTACCTCATCCAAGAGGTCTGGGTTTTGTAAAAGGCAGGGGACTGGGACAAGGTGTTCATTCTGGTGACATCCCCAGTTCATAAAACAAGAAATGTCAGCCGTGAGTTATTTCCGCAATATAATAGCTCTGAGGAGAGCAGGAAGGCCTCTTGTTATCCACGTCAGAAGCTGAAAGGGAGGTTTCCAGAAGCAGCTATTTTGAAAGGACTTTGAAGGGAAGATGCCTGGTTTGCGTAAGGAAAAACAGAAAGAAACGGATGGGTGTGTAGTTGCTTTTAAACTGGGACTCAGTGTGGGCTCTGTATCCTGGGCAGGGCCGCTGATTCTTGGGTGAAGTTCAAGCAGACCAATAATTCCTCTTTGAATGCCCAAAGCTCTCCTCCCGGTGCCCTTTCTCCTAGTGATGCTTTCTTTTCTATCCATGTCACCCCCACGTTTGGGTCTGCAAAGCTCCAGGCAGCAAACCCATGAGAGCAAACCCATGGGGTGCGCAGCGTGGCTTTAGGTGCGGACCCAGTGAGCATTGTTTGTGTCGTACAGGCTGGGGACTAGCAACCCGAAACTGAATTCCTGGCTCGCCTTGGAATGCCAAAAGGCAAAGAGTGTTCTGAAAACGCAGCAGCAGCAAGCGAGGAAACTGCTAGAGGTGGGGAGCTCTTCGCTGTCAGCTTCTGACACTTGTAACTGATGGCCCCTGTCACTTCCTGTCATGCAGCCCAAGTTGGGGGGAGGAGTTCCTTCAGGGAAACCATGCTGAGCCCCACTCAGAGAATCCTGTCTGCAGGGCTCTGCCGCAGTTAGGGGCCAGGGAGTCCTGGTGGATGAGGTCGGAGTGCCCCATGGTGTGGTGTTGCCTCTTTGTCCGCGCGCAGGTAAGCGCCCTGCAGCGGGGAGGACAGCGTGCTGCCACTGAGCCAGGGATAGTGGACCAGCCCCCAACTCCCACCCGACCTGACAGGCAGTGCCAGGAGCTGAGGTGTGGGAGGGCATGGTGGTCTTTTCACCTCGCAAGACACTGAGCAGAGAGCTGCCATTAAAAACACCTGGGATGAGGGAGCAGATTCTCATCTCACTTCAGTATGAATCAGAAGAAAGTTCTGTGGCTGCCTCTAAGACCACAGATGGTCGTGCTTTGTCGTGAGGGTGAGCTGAGTGGCGTGCATAGCTGTCACTGCCTCCTTTAGCATCTGTGATTGGAGGGGAGGACGGGGAGGGGGCCTTTCATGCTTTGTGATGCTACTATTTTAATTTTTACAAGAAGCCTGTTTTAATTAATGAGAAGGACAAGAGAGAAAAGAAGGATGCATCTGCCTTCTGTTTTGTTGTTGTTGTTGCTTATTAATCACAACATGGATTTCCAAGATCTCTTCTTTGAGTGCCAGGATTACAGGCGTGAGCCACCCCGCCTGGCCATTTTCTCTTCTTTGGATTGGAAGATGGCCGAATTCAGTTTTGGAAGTTCATTTTGCTTGGAGAAACTTTTTTGTAGGTTTTCCTAAAGTCATCCTGGTGTTTTGAATGTGTTCATATTGGGAGGATGAAGTTGGATAATATCGGTGGAGACTCAGACCTGGTACCATTCTCATTAAGAGCGTTGGTGTCTGGTTTGGGTTATTTTGGAAAAAGTGGCTGGAAACATGTTTCTGTGGGCTGAAGAATAGTTAGGATCTCTGAAGCTTACTCTCCCATCCCTTATATTTATTTGTTTGTTTGGGGGTAGGTGTTAAAGTTCTGGATAAGCCAAAACTATTTTTTAAAGGAAATGTGCATTGCTTTTTCTATTCTTCTCGTGAGAATTATGTTTCTGGAACTGATTTTTGTAATCCAAATCCCAACTTTCGTACATAACCATTATAGACATACTTTTTTCCCAATAGTTTTATTGTGGTAAAATATACATACAGTTTACCATCTTGACTATTTTAAAGTGCACAGTTCAGTGGTATTTAATAAACTCATAATGTTGTGCAACCGTTACAACCATTCATCTTCATAACTCTTTTCAGCTTGCAAAACTGAAAGTCTATACTCATTAAAAAAATAACTCCCCATTACCCTCTCCCACCAGCCCCTGGAAACCACAATTCTGCTTTCTGTCTCTGTAATTTTGACTACTCTAAGTATCTCATATAAGTAGACTCAAACAGTATTTTGTCTTTTTGTGCTGGGTTTATTTCCTATGTCCTAATGTCTTTAAGGGTCATTCATGTTGTGGCATGTGTCAGAATTCCCTTCCTTTTTAAGGCTGAATAATATTCCATTATTGTGTATATTATATGGTAGCAACACTGCATGTATTACATTTCATTTATCCACTCGACCCTCGGTGGACCTTTGTGTTGCTTCCATGTTTTACCTATTGTGAATAATGCTGCTGTGAGCACGGTATGCAAATATTTCTTCTTTTGAGTATATATCCAGCAGTGGAATTGCTGGATCATATGGTAATTCTATTGTGAATTTTTTTAGTATCTACCATACTGTTCTCCACAGTGGCTATACCTTTTTACATTCGCACCTACAGTGCACAAGGGTTCCAGTTTTTCCACATCCTCTCTAACACTTATTTTCCATTTTTTTTAAAATAGTAGCCACCCTATTGGATGTGAAGTGGTATCTCCTTGTGGTTTTTTTTTTGAGACAGAGTCTCACTGTGTTGCCCGGGCTAGAGTGCCGTGGCATCAGCCCAGCTCACAGCAACCTCAAACTCCTGGGCTCAAGTGATCCTCCTGCCTCAGCCTCCCGAGTAGCTGGGACTACAGGCATGAGCCACCATGCCCGGCTAATTTTTTTCTATATATTTTTAGTTGTCCAATTAATTTCTTTCTAGTTTTAGTAGAGACGGGGTCTCGCTCTTGCTCAGGCTGGTCTCGAACTCCTGAGCTCAAACAATCCGCCCGCCTCGGCCTCCCAGAGTGCTAGGATTACAGGCGTGAGCCACCACGCCCGGCCTTTCCTTGTGGTTTTGATTTGAGTTTGAGCATCTCTTCATGTGCATTACTGGCCATTTGTGTGTTTTCTTTGGAGAAATGTCTACTCAAGTCCTTTGCCCATTGAATTGTTTGTTTTTTGTTGTTGAGTTTTAGGTTGGTCTGTACATATCTTGGATATTAATCTCTTACCAGATATGTGATATGGAAATATTTTCTCCCATTCTTTGGGTTGCCTTTTTGTTCTGTTGATATTGTACAGACATACAATTGTAATCCTTTCATGTAATTTGGGTTATTTTACTATCTTTGACCTTTTCCCATTTAACTTACCTAGCTATTTGCTTACTTGATGATGAATAATTTTTGAACCTTTAAGAGATGGACATTAACAACATTTAAAATGATTTACAACATATCAGTGATAGTTAATGCAAAGTTAATAGCAATATAATACAATAATAGTTTACATTTATTAGGTGCTTGTCTGTTACTAAGCACTTTACTCCCATTAGCTCATGAAATTCTTATAGCACTGTAGAAGTTGGCTATTACTATTATTATTCCCATTTTGCAAATGGTGAAACTGAGGTTTAGAGAAGCTAGATAATTTACCCAAGGTCACCTAGCTAGTTAAGTAATAGATCAGTTTTCAAACCTAGGCAGAATGAATCTGGAAATGACGTTCTTATCCCTTAGGTGCTATGTGATGATTTTAATACAGTGGCCCTTCCCAGATCTCCCATCATGAGCAGCATTTGCAGTAGCACTTATCTTTCCAATCCTTTGGCAAGTCATCCCATTTTGGTGGATGTTTGCCGTGGTCTAATTAGTGCCTAAGTAAGAGGCACCTATGACAAGTCGCTGCCCTGCCTGGACTCAGTTTCCCCACTTGTCAAATGGAGATGTCTCTAAACTCATTTTAGCTCTGATGTGAATCTAAAGCACACAAATATCTTGCACAAAAAGTCAAAAATAGTTTTCACATCTGCCCTATTTCAACGTCAAACGATTTAATGAGTGCGTTTAAGCACACATTTCCCAAGGATATCAACTGGAACTCAAAAGGTAATTGGCTGACTAGCTACTGAACCTTATGCTGCTCTTGAACACATTTTGTAATGAATTTTGATTCCTTAGCTCTGAGAGTCTGCAGAGAAAGGATCTGGGGAAATTGGAGCTGGATGTGGGAGCGGCAATTGGTAACTGGCTAAGGAATGAAAGGAGGGAGGGGAGAAACCCTTTAAATACGCATTAGCCCTCATAAATTCATCTTCATGGGTTGGCCAGAGTAGTTCTGTATCTGTGGAGAAATGATGGAGTACAATGGTCAAGGCAGGCTTGTGTTTTAGAGCCAGACAGACGTAGGTTTGAGCCCCAGGTTTGCCACTTACTAACCATGCAATCCAAGGCATGTTACCATGGTAACATGGTAACACGGGGATACTAAATAGCGCTTCATTATTCCTTGTCATAAGGGATAATTGAAATAACGCCTGGCAGTGTCTAGCAGGGTCAGCACTCAGCAAATGTGATCTGTGTCCCAGGTTATATTGACTGTAGAACGTGTTAGTGGCTACCAGAGAAACGAATCCTTAGGGGTTAGGAACAGCAGGGCTCTGAAGCACCTTATGTCCTGAGATAAACATGGACATGATTTGATTCTGCAGAGGGAAGGAAGCCGCATATCCCAAGGAAGGCTGATACTGCATGTTAAAGCCCCTATTCCAGGCGTGTTTTTACAGCTTGCCCGGGGCGCCGAGTAGGAGCCATGGAAGGGGAAGCTGATTCAAACCAGATCCTAAAAAGGCCTCTCTTCGTGGAACACTCAGATGCGTAACTCGGAGGGGGCAAGGTCAGGGTAGTGACTCTGACTGTCCACTGGGACAGAAACAATGGGTGGCTTTAGGGCCTAAATATAGCCAACGTGGATGTCACTTAGGGAAATCAGTTCCCCAGGGTGGGCAGTTCTCTTGGGAAGAGCTCAGGAAGCAGCCCCCGTGTACCAACCCTCTCTCCATCAGCCTCTTTCTGAATATCATTGTCCGTATTCCAGCTTCTGTGCATCCCTTGAGCACCTGCATCAGCTTGGCAGCCTTGAAATAGCCCATGACAGGGCCTTATTTGTTCATTTCTTCCCTTCCAAGTCTTCCTTGTGAGGCTTACCACCTCTCTCCTTTTCTTCTCACAAGCTCCTCCCGGCCCCTGCCACACAGTACTCCTCATGGAGCAGGGACAAGAACACTGAGCTGTGAGTCAGGAGTTCGAGGATCAAGTTCTGGGTTTTGCAGTTAACCTTGGGCAATGCTAAACTTCCCTGCTACCAGCTTCTCCACGCAGAGGCGGTGGAGACGTAGCTGTTAAGAGCCCGGGTGCTGGAACTTGACAGCCTGAGTTCAAATCCTCACTGTCACTTTCTCTGTGACTTTGCACAAGTTCCTTACCTCTCTGGGCCTCAGTTAGCTCACCTGCAGAGTTATAGCTCATCCTAAGCAGGAATAGTCCTGAAGTCGCAGGTTAGATACGTGTTTCCTAAAACCCATTACAATAAATACACATAGGTCTACTGCATGTGGTCTGAGGTGGTATTGTGTCACCACTGGGGTCCACTTCCCATACTTTGGGGACTGCAGAACCATGGCTCTGAGCATCTGAGGTCCAGGTTGCCACTTGCCAGTGATGTTGACTCACCTCACTGGAATGAATAGTGAGCCCATCCTTTCGTTCCTCAGGAACTGTCTGAAAACCAGCTTTGTGCCCGATTCCATGCCAGGTATGGAGATGGCCAAAATATGGGTCTTCGTAGCTCCTGCTATCTTCTTCGAATGGGACATTACCAACCCCGAGAAAATGGGGAAGAGAGAGGCACAAAATGACTATTTCTGAAATCCCACCTTAATGAAAAGTAAGAGAAGCAGGGGCCACTCTCTTTGCCTGAAATC